ATAATGATAGATTGACTTCAACGTGGCTAACACCAGCTAACAACGGCAAACGCAGCAGTGTTTAGGGCCAGAGGGGTTCAGGATATCCTCAATAGCTGACCCCAGTGTCACAATCATCAGACAGAAGCGAGCTTCACTGACTCATCAACTCATACCGAAGCTTCAAGGTTTAAACCCCAGTGCGTTGAGAGATGCTCTTTTGCATAGCTTGATTGTCATGATGGGTTATTTGCGCTGCTGTTGCCTTCCTGTTAGCTCAAAGCACTATCAAATTTGTTTTGTTTTTTAATCAAGAAACTGCGGCTCATCGTATATCTTTTCATCTTCAGCCCATGCTCTGCAAACTGCAAATCCAGTAGCTCAGCAGTTTCTAAAATACTCAAATCAGCCTGTCTGCAACCAACAATCACGCCACATCCAAATCCCTCCTCTTCCCCATTTATTTGCTTAGTTTGAACTTCAGTAAGTCGTATTAACCATGTTTATATGTCTAAATACGCTGAACGTTTGTGTTCACTAGCAGTTGAACAAGTGTACCTAATAAAGTGGTCAGTGAGAGCATATTTTTGTGTGTTTGGCTTTTTGCAAGCTGTAGTAATTTTACTAAAAGCTATGCATATAAACACGGCAAAATCCATCACAGTCTCAGTGTCCACATAGAGATATATTACATTTGCATATTAATATGGAGAAGGTCACAGAATGTAAAACCTCTAATATCTGACTCTCTAAGAAATTTACATTTAAATATCCAATAGAAACACTCGTCTGCAACAAAAGTATGTCTGTCTACACAGAAACACTTCTTCTGTGACTTGGAGGAAAAGTACTGTTGTTCATTATCTGGATACAATTTACAGACATGTAAATCTTTTTATCCCCTGGAGGAAACGCCTGTCTTATAGTTAGTGTACTCGTGCACTGATACCTAATGATGTTCATATCCACGCCTGCTTGGTTCTTTTGTGCTTGTTTCATTTATATTAATTTACTTGTTTTTCGTGGCGGTAAAAGAACAAGTATAGATTCAGTCAGCCTTGTATATATAAAGGTCAAATCAGCTGTCTGTCAGTCTTGGCTGCATTGTTTCAAATGATGTCAGGTGTGTTCCCAGCTTAGATCAAGATAAAAGGAAACATGAAATATGCCAGCAGCATGTGTGAGGTGTTGACACTAACAAATTCACTGGATGTGCGCTGTTGACACTGATCCCTAAACTCTTTGCTGGAGTCTGTGGAATCTTGGGATTTTCCCCTTAGGGGAAGGTCTGTGGTTTTTAATTGAGCTTTTATTTCTTGTTTTGCTTTCTTGTTCATCACCCTTTTTTCATTACTGCCCTTCGCTTCTTGCTCTTTCATGCTGTTTTTTGCTGCCTTTGATTTTGTTGCCTTTTATTACACATCTTCATGTAGATGTACGTCAATATCCTGTTCATATTATATGTAGTCCATTATTTTGTTTTTATTACTTCATTCTGTTGTGGGCACAGTACATGTGCTCTCTTATCCTGTTTGTGTTAGCAACACACTCTCATGCAGCTAAAAAAAACTACAGAATCTAATGCTTTGAATGTATAGGATTAGGCAGCATGCATCTTATGATCTCTTGCTGTTCATTGGCAATCAATGTTCCCAGTTCCCATGGTGACGGTGTTTGAAATGTTTCTTTTGTTTATGTAGCAATACAGAAAAAGATATGGTCCGTATCATGTGGTGAGATTAATGGATAAGCCACCTAATTTAAGTATAACCCAAACTGTCTTCATTTATAAAGCTTGACCATTTTGTTTTATCCTGCAGAGATCATCGGATTTGGGAACATTTTTCGTTAAAGATACAGTCAGTTGAGTTTGAGTTTATTTTATAGACAAAAGTAATATTGCACTCATTTATTATAATTAATTAATTATTTGTTCCAAGAAACAGATACATTCTCAAATTACACAGGAGTACGCACCAATTTGCAGAAGCTGCCATGTTTCCTTTGTATCTTAAACACAGTGATCAAGATTGACAACATCGTTGTGCCTAATGGCATTTTATTTATGTGGCTAGAGAGCAGCGTACATAGCAGAAGAGAAGGGGTGTTTGTACGTCGTGGAGGCAAATTTTAATTTGTGCCTGCACTTTCAGACTGGAGATATGAAGCGTCATAGCTATATTTTGCCATCTGATTCTGGGTCCCTTTTCACTAAAGAAATGAAAACACAGAAGAAAGCAACAACATGACTGGCATTTGAATATAATCTCATCCTCTTCCTTCTCACCTCAAGCCTCAACTCCTGAACTGAGGTCAGAGCTCTAAAATATGAAGTTTGCATAAACATGCACATTTATTCCCAGTATTGTTGCAGATTAGATATGCGACCCTCCGCTTCCAGACGGCTAACAACAAGCCGGCTAAATGAAAGCAATGACTGGTTAGCTAACACTATGCTAGCTAATGTTAGACTCGAGTGTTTGTTTCATCTGATAAACAGTTTGATTGTCTTGCATTTCATCAGACTTTATTCACTAAGTGTTTGAGTGTAATAACATTAGATACAATTCACAGAAAGTTTCCCTAACACCTGCTAGCAGCTAACAGTGGCAAAAACAACACTGATAACTGACTTAAAAGTTCAGGATATCCTCAGCAGCTCAAATTAGTAACTCGTATCTGACTCTTTATGCAAAGTTTTACCGCTACCTCCAGAGTAAATAGACATGGGCACATATTGACAGCTGAGGTAAACAGCGGACTGACAGAAAACAGAACTGCAATCTACTGACATCTAGTGGTGACATTTTACACGCTGTACCGTCATTGCAGCAGTAGTCATGCACAAACAGCTTAAGGCCAGTCAGCTAAGATTCTGTTGCAATATTTTCATCAGCGATTAGTTTAGTGCAACACATTTAACAACACATAAGCATGAGAGATGAAAGACTCAATAATATAGAAAGTTTACAAGTGCAGAGCCATGAAGCAGTTAACAAGAGTTAATAAATTTACTAAATGCTGCACATTTTTCTTTTCCTGTAGCAACTCTGCTTGCTTTCACAGTGCTGTTTTTCCCCTGACACTTTTATAATGCATCCTATGAAACATAAAAGCAAAACCTGTAATAATATTTTTTTAACCATACCAGTTTGATGCTAATGAAAACATCAGCAGTATAATATTTAATTGATTCTCTTTGCTTCGGTTTCTATTGATGCTGTATTCTTTTCCCCTACTTCACAGGAAGTTTGCCTCTCCGCTGACCTGATTTTCCCGTGGGGATCTGTAGTCTCACGCTTTATTAGCAAAGCATGCAGTTTGATCTTTTGATGTGATATGTGTTTGGCTGCCTATTTAATGTGAACTTGCATGAAGATGGTTTGGAACGTCTTCTCTCACAGGGACAGTTGAGAAGCATTTTTGTGACATCAGTTACTGTGGCTAGTTCAAGTCAGGTGTAATGAATCCAGGCACAGATTTAGAACTCACTTAGTAAGGCCTCAGGACACGAACGCTTACGAGCATCAAAACTTGATCTGTGTGAGAACACAACAACAATCTGAGAAACTTAATTAAAGGCCACACTGTGTTAAGTTTCACATGGGATCTTATCCCAGACCAGCAGAGTAAGCATGGCTCCAGAAGAAGAGGTCTTCACCACCGCATCTCTTGGCATCACTCAAATCAATTCAGATTCATCCACCATGTCTCTGCTCCTTGGTTCCCACAATCCTGTTCCCTCGTTGCCATAGCCAGAGTGTGTTTGTGCTTTTGAGGGTGTGGACTTGGTGGTTACTGAGTTGGTGGTTGATTGTATTAGCTAGCAAGCTGGTTTGGAACATGGAAAAATGTGACTCATGAACTTTTGTTTCTTCTTTTTTGCTCTTCTCCCACTTCATCTTCGTTTTGATCCACCCACCAGACAAAATGATGTGATCCTTGCTTACAGCCTGTTATTGAAAAAAGCTATCAGTATGCAAGATGATCATAGATGGCACTCGTTGCATGGAATAAATTGTAATACGAAATTTACTTTGATTGCATCATTTAAAAACATGCAGAGTTACTCAGCTCTAAAGTAAAGTAATATCCTTTCAAATGATTTTAACACTTGATTCTTGTGTCCTAATTCAGCGCTTCTATAGTGGGTACCTCTGTAATATATTGATATGTAAATGTATGATGTGTATATATATATATATATATAGATATATATAGATAGATATATATATAGATATATAGATATATAGATATATATAGAGATAGATATATAGATATAGATATATAGATATATAGATATATAGATATATATATAGATAGATATATAGATATAGATATAGATATACACACAATTATCAAAGAACTATAATATCTTCAACATATATTAAATTATGCAAAGAACATCTTTGTAAATTGAATTTCAGTTTCCTGTGTGGGAAAATGTGATTTCTAAAAATGAATCATTTTACAACCTTGCTGAAAACCACTAATAGCAATTACTGTAAGCAGTCCATCTGTTTTCAATGAAATATCCCCGGGAAAAAAAGTAAAGAAATAAGATTAATCTGTATAAAGATGAGCTCATATCACAAGTTAGTCCATTACTGTGGAGTAAATGGTGACTTTTCTTTTTGCAAAGGGTACGTATGTGTCTGTGTACTTGTAATACTTCTTGTCTTTACTGTTGTTGGTAGCTGCTTACTGTCAGAGGTGCAAAAGACAGATTATTAACATATAAGTTCAAAACTTGGTTAAATGTTAAGGCTAGGGTTAGATTTGGATTATGGGCAAGTAGTGATTATGGAGGGGTCAGGATAAGACTCCACAAAATCAGCGTGAGTAAATGTAATGTCCTCTGAAGTAATGGAAATATGACCGTGTGCATGAATCCAGTGCACTCTGACTAAACACACGAGTATAGTGAATGGAGAGAACTGGGACAGGAGCACAACACTCACGCAGAGACAAACTGGGACAGGAAGTACTGCATATCTTTCTCATGTTCTGCCTTTCTGTAGTTATGCAGGTCGTGTGGTTGGCAACACTTTAAAAGCCCAGAGGGAGAATCCCGAGCTGACTGTGCGCAATACGGATCCTGTCCTGAAGGGCGCAAAACAGAGGCTGGAACAGCTGACACAGGTAAATGCTCGCACCCAGTGTTCTCCCAGTTTGTTACTCCCAACAAAGGCTGTCTTATAAAGTGTTACCCAAATTCTTATGTTAAGATGGATGATGCTGAGATTTTTCCCACCCTAACAACAACTGTTGTCCAAACCGTCTTGTAATTATAGAATAAGCTATAGTCCCAATGTTGATATATTATGCGTTGGTGGCCTTTCTTCTAGTGCTGCAATCAATAGTCACTCTGAAATATGCAATCGAGAGAAGAAGAAACCTTAGATTTGGGGGCTTTCCTTCATCTTTTAAGGACACTATGATGAAACAAACTTTCATACTTCAAAAGGATTTTTTGAAGTATGAAAGTATTTGCTTATGAGTGGTTTTCTTGTTTTCTTGGGTGATTTCACATCTACTGAACATTAATATACCCTGCGCTAACCTTGGCAGTGACACCCTATGGTTGCCATTCTGCGGGAGTGATGATGATGATGGCTCCAGTTTTTTTTTTTATGTGTGTGTCTGTGTTTGTGTGTGTGTGTTGCGGGGGTGGAGGGGTGCCCTTAAGTTCATCTGGCCTTCAATTATGCGCTACCACCTCCTGTGTGAAGTGCTGCTTAATCCAATAAAGTTAAATGTCAGCACTTGAAACACAGGTAGATAATAACACTCAATAATAAATTAATTAATTCAACAATTAAACTGGAATTTATGCAGGACTTTCAAGGCTGTACTCAGTATGGTAATATGGAGATATGATTTGTGTGAATGATTCATAAAATCATACGATTCGGTAGAATGATATATGAAATGTATTCATTACCATGATTCATTATTATCTGTGTGGACAATGTGGCTTTGGACCCTTCTGGATTGAGGGAGACAGCCTGATACATCATGCAACTCATACTGGCAACATAATGTGGTTTGCTGGTCATTCATTCATCAATTCAAATCAGTTTTATTCATATAGCGCCAAATAGTCGCCTCACTGTGCTTTATAATGTAAGTTAAAAACCCTACAATAGTAGAGGAAAAAACAAACAATCAGAAAACCCTTTATGAGCAAGATCTTGGTACAGTGGGAAGGAAAAACTCCCTTTTAACAGGAAGAAAGAAGTAGAAGCAAGAACTGTAACAACCCAATCTTTTGTTCTTTAGATCTCGAGTAAATCTAAAAAAGGATACACACGCACTTTAATAAAGTAAAATAAAAACAGGGCTATGTAATATAACGAAACTGTGAGTTTAGGGTTTTTTTAAACTCAGTAAATGTTACTCAGACAGGTGGAAACAGCTGATTTCTTTAAATTTGTAAATCTATTTTTAGTGGTGAGTTTTGTCCAGCAGCAACAATTTGGACTCAAAATAAACAGTATCCGTCCCCACAGGCGTCACATTGTTTTAAATTCTTAGTCAAGAACTTGTTTGTTTGTTCAATTTTATTGTTTAGTCTAGTTGAATGTGAGTTTTGCAATCCTGCGCTTGGGTTTAACTCTTGAGTTTTCTTAATGCCAGCTTTTAGTTCCCCTGCTGCCACCCTGTTTGTTCCTCCTTCTCTCTCCTTTCTCTGTTGATGTCATCATCACCCTGTGTTCACTAGCTTGACATCGTGCTAAGTGTTAGTATTAGTTCTCTCACTCATTTCCTATTTTCCTTTGAGTGTTGGTTTTCCTTCATGAATAGTTCGCTTTACTTCCTGCTTTGCCTGTGTTGATAATCTGTACTCGTGTCTCATTTCCTCTCCGCTCTCTAACCCTAAATTAGCCTTCTGTGCACACCTGTTCATGCTCTTTAGACCACAGTCCTGATTGGACTTCATGTTCTTTGGATTACAATTTCTATTGGACTATTTGTATTTTTCTTTGATCAGTCACAATAAAGGCTCACATTTTGTTTAGTATTCAGTCTGCACTTCCCTGCAGTGTCCTCCCCTCTACAATCCACACATCACTGGCAAACAGTAATGACTGGACATGTCACCCCGCCCAGCAGTGTGGCCCATTGATTTGTTTTTAATCATTTTTAAAGGAAGGTGGTTATCCAGTGGTGGCTGCTCAAGTTAAATATGGCCCCAGTTTTACACAGTTACTTCTTCTTGTAGGTGTTTACAGACAGCACATGTGGACCACAGAGATTATGAAGTTTGTTTGTGTTTTTAGATGGGTGTGGAGGCTATTGAAAAGAACTATCCTGTCGGCAACACACATGTATAAAATATATTACAGAAACTAAACAGTACCCCCTAGAACTGTCATAAAAACAGAAGTTATGTCTTCCTAGCAACAGCCACTCCTTTTAAAGAAAGCCTGTTAACCTCTGGTTTATGTAATGTTGGTGAGGGTAAAGGAAAATTAATCGGGTGGGACATGCTAAGGCCTAGTTTTCTTTTCTTTCCTTTTTTTTTTGCCATTTTGCTGTTCTGTGATCTGTCTAATTTCACAGGTGACTCCATTAATCATGCTGCATTTACATGGAGAAAATGCCAAGTCAGCATCGCCCCGTACTCCCCCCCCCCTCCCACACACACACACACGTACACAAACATGCACTACACATGCACCATGTATTCATTTATGGATGCGAGTTCCTTCTTACGCTCATTAATTCAGTCTTACTTGTATACACTTGGTCATCTGTGATTTAAAGACTATTCGAGCTTTTTGCCGATCTTCAGATGTAATTCAGACGAACGCGCGGTTAGATCAATGTGTTTGGATACGCGGCCTCTGGATCGATCGTAGTAATGCTATACAGGTCACGACATGAACCGAAGGGAAAGGTCTGATATTTTCCATTCTGAGGTGCGCTTTCCATCTTCCATCTTTCTGATAAATTGCAGGATGCAAGCCTGTGCACACATACAAACAAACTAAATGTAATTTGAACCTGTTGAGAGTCGCCTTTGCAAACCCACATCCTGGGCTTTGTTTCTTTGAAACTAGGTGCTCCGGTGGCTTCTCTGTGGGTGAAGCCATCCATCTGAGGCACAGCCGTTAATGCACAACCATTTATTAATTATTATTCATGCCTGTCATGTGTGCCATTTACACGCTCTGACCACAAGGATGAGAGCAGAGGGAAAATATGAGAGAGGACACAGAAGCGTCCCTGGAATTTTAATCATTTCTCCCGACCGGGTTTTGAAGGTCTGTCTTTCTTTATGCGTTTTCCTTGGTGTCTTCTTATCTGTCACTGTCCCAATTTGTATTGCGTGCTAAGCAGACCTTTGGTGCAGTAGCTTGTTTTTCACATAAGCTTTGCTGTCTAATGGGATTTTATTAACGCAACCACGTGTTTATACTCACAATTAAAACTTGTAGGTACATGCACAGCCAGTCAAGATGACATGAATCAACCCTTTGTGTTAAAAAAGGGGAAGGGTTCTCATCTTTTGATTACATGGCAGCTGAAGATGGGCAAGGAAGGAGTTCTTCTCTTGTAAACTGGTCATTTGTCAGCATGTGATAGGATCATTTACACCCAGTAAGAGCTTTAAATTATACCAATTTTATTGTGGAGACTAGACTTTGTGTCTCAATGCAACAATCTTGTAAATCGTAGTTTCACTTTCCTGTATTTAGCTGACAGGAGTGTCTGCTGCTGCTGTTCTGTTTCAAGGTTTTACATGTTGTGCACTGAGAGCTGCTCTTCTGCATGCCTTGGTTGTAATGAGTGGTCATTTGCTTTACTGTTGCCTTCAGTTCAAAGTATTCTGCCCATTCTCCTCTGACCTCTGGCATCAACGAGCCATTTTCTCCCAGAGAGCTGCTGCTCACTGGATATTTTCTTGTTTTTAAGACCATTTTAATCCCAGCAAATCAACAGTTTCTGAAAAACTCCAATCAGCCTGGCACTAACAACGTTGCCACCTTTAAAGTCCCATACCAACATGTGTATATTTTACACATGTTGGTATGGGATATTGTATTTGTTTTAAATGTTATATACCTATGTGGTATGTGACTTTTGTTGCCATGATGCCAGGTCTCTCTTGGAAATGAGATTTTTAATCTCAATGAGATTTTTTACCTGGATAAATAAAGGATTAATAATATATAAAAAAAAAAAGCCACTTAAATTACCCATCTTCCTTGCTCACTTTGAACTCAGCAGGCCATCTTGACCATGTTGACATGCCTAAATTGTTTGAGTTTGGCTGATTACATGTTTGCATTAACGAGCAGTTGAACATGTATAATTGTTTAAACATTTTATAAAGGCAGTGTCTTATTATCCATCATTATTAAAATCTGATGTATTATTGAGAACAAAGCAAAAAATATTTATATTTTTGCAGCGTACAAAAGTTCATCACCTCAGCCACTACCAGTTTAAGTTTGTCTCCAGTCATTAATTACACTGGACAGACCGTTCTGGAGTTACCACACTTGAATAATTTTATTTGTTGGCTCTGTTGGTTTCACAGAGGAGTTTCAGTGCCACATGGCCCAAATCCTGTTTAAATTTCAGACTTTCCACATGACTAAGAAAACAGTCCTGGTGGAAACAGTGCTGTAATGTATTTTTGTCCTCCCTCAGCACTCATTTGCAGTCCAGTGACATGATGGTGAATCACCGTACAGAGCCTAGTCTGTTTCTGTGTCCCCTCGGACATGCTGTCATATAATAACCTTGCTTCCCCTTGGTTTCGTGGCTGCTACACACCTACTCTATGGTGGAGGCCAGATGTCCCTCCGTTTGCATCCCACATTCTTTTGCCCCACAAGGAAACTCCACAAGGACTAACAAGCACCCTTGCTTGTTAATCAAATAAAGTGATCGATGATGCCTGCTTATTTTAACCATTTTTCCTTGATCCATAAACAAGGATAGCTGCACTGTTTTCATTGTTATACTTATATAGTGCTTTTCTACTCTCCCGGAGTACTCAAGGCGCTGTATACAACATGCTGCATTCACCCACTCACACAAGCACTTCTAAACTCAAGTGCAAACTAATAAACATTCACACTCCAATAAACACATGGGAGAGCAACCTTGGCGTTAGTATCTTGCCCAAGGATTTTCGGTATGCAGCCTGGGGAGGCCAAGGATCGAACCACCAACCTTCCAATCAGTAGATGATTTGCTCTACCACCTGAGCCACAGCCACCCCACAATGCTGTTTGCCTACTTAATATCTTCCCCTTGTGAATCAAAACAGACACCTTATGCTTATGTGCTAAAGGGATTATATTTGGTAGCCAGAGTTAAGTCATCTTTAAATACGAGAGAGTCACACAGATTTTGTCTGTGTATAAGCAGCTGAGACAGGGAAAATCAGTTAGAGCTCTCACTCTGCAGGATAACAAATTTAAAATGATCATAAAATTTCAGACAACTGACTGTCCATTTAGTTGTTCAGACAGTTTTCAATGTAGTGCAATAATATAAATCATTCAACTTAATTCTTTTTTAATAGCACCCGATAGCAACAACAGTCGCCTCAAGGAGCTTTATATTGCAGCGTAAAGACTCTACAATAATACAAAGAAAACAGCAACTATCAAAGAACCCCCTGTTAGCAAGCACTTGGTGACAGTGGG